AGGAGGAGGAGGAGGAGGAGGAGGAGAAGGAGGAGACGGAACACGATAAGTAGGAGTAGGAGCAGGAGTGGGATGAGGGTGAGCGGGGTGTGGACCCGCCCAGGTTCCCGCAGAGCGACGGGCACCGTGTGCCTCCCGCCTTCGAGGTCGAACAGATGAGGATTCATGACTCGGGCTGCACGACCATGGACCTGAGATTTGCCGACGGCGAGCTTATCGTCGTCTCGGAGGCCCCTCCTCATCTCTTCCTCCTCCTCCTCCTCCCCCTCCTCCGCCTTCTCCTCTCTTCCTCCTCCTCCTCTTCCTCCTCCTCCTCCTCCCTCCTCCTCTTCCCTGCACGTAAGGAACAGGGCGCGACGCCTGGCCGACGAGGGCCCCCCCCGAGAGGTTAGCTCCTCCTCCTCATCATCATCATCCTCCTCTTCTTTTTCTTCTTACTATTATTAATTCTCCTCCTCCGCCTCCTCTTCTTCTTCCTCCTCCTCCTTCCTCCTCCTCTTCTTCCTCCTCCTCCTCGTCCTCCTCCTGCTCCTCCTCTCCTCCTCCTCTCCACTCCTCCTCCTTCTCATCCCCCTCCTCCTCCTCCTTCTCCTCCTCCTCCTCCTCCTCCTCCTCCTCCTCCTCATTGTCCTTCGCTTTGCCATTTCCTCGTCGCCCCGGAGGCCCCGCGGGGAAGCTGCCCGGGCACCGCGGGCGTGCAGGCGCCCGGCAGAGTTCAGAAGCCTTCAGGGCCTCGCCCTCGCAGCTTCGCTCGCCTCTTTCCGCCCCCCTCCCGCTCTCCTGTCCTCCCCCCCTTCTCTCCAGCTAGATGGGGTTGGAGTAGAGGGGGTGAGAGGGTCGCGCCACATCACCAATGCATCGCCGATGCGGCTCGATGTGAAGCCCGGCTTGCTTCACGTCGACGTCGCCGATACATCGCCGATGCATCGCCGATGTACAGGCGATGCGACGCGATCCTCCGACCCCATCTATTCCGACCCCATCCAGGAGGCTGCTATTCTCTCAGTAGCGTTCAACCTATCCCCATCCCCACTGGGCCATACTATATCAGCCCCACCATGCCAGCACCCGAGTTGGGGATGGACCCCTCCAAGCCCGAATGGAATAGCCTACGTCCCCATCTAGGGGGGGACATCGGCCACTGGGGCTAAGGCCACACCAGTGGGACAGAGACCAGTCAAACGATGCTCATCCTCATCCCTCGCCCTGTTTCTTTCCCCCTCCTCCTTCGAGCCCTCTTCTCCTCGCCCTCCCTGCCCCCCAACCCTCCACCCTCCACCAGAGATTGCGCCTGGGCTTTTGGCTGGCCGAGGTGGTGGACTTCAGCAGGCGGGAGGTCCGGCAGCGCATCGACGTGTCGGACTCCACCATCAATTGCTGCGACGTCGCCCGCGGCCAGGTGTGCTCGGTAGTAAGATCATGGGAGCCTTGTATACCCCCGTCACTCCGTTTTGACAGTGCACTAGCGTCGATTAGCGTCTGGTGGTCGATGGGATAGCGCCGATCTAGCGCCGATTCGCAAGAGCTGGCAAGATGGTATGGGAAGCTCCCAGGAATTTCAGTGGGCGAAGAACGGTTGAACATAATTTTTTCCGCCATCCCCGACGGCGGACAAGTTTAAGTTTCGCCCGCCAAGAGTTGCCGCAGAAGGTGTGCATGGGCAGCAGCGACTCCAAGGTGCGCCTTCTGAGAAGGGCCGGGTCGCTCCACGGGTGCGGCGGCGAGGGCAGCGGGGCCGACGCAGGCTGGGCGGGGCTGACGGTCCGCCAGTGTGGGGGGCCTGTCGTGGCTTGGTGGAGCTTAGTGTCGTGTGCGCGTGCCCCTCCAGGATAGCCCAGAGGAGGAGGAGGAGGAGGAGGAGGAGGAGGAGGAGGAGGAAGGAGGTGGGAAGAGGAGGAAGAGGAGTGAGGAGAAGAGGAGGAGGGGAGGGGAGGGAGGGAGGAGGAGGAGGAGGAAGAGGAAGAGGAATAATTACTCACTTCGTGGAGCTCCCCATATGTGCATCTCATGTTTTATATTATGCCGTAGTGAGCGTCTGTTCATGAGCGTTTGACTATAATAGCCCGTCCGCGTTGGCGACAGGCCCGACGAAGACGAGTGCATCCTGATGCGAGTGAGTGAGTATGAGTCAGAGTGAGCTGAGCATGATTGAACATGAGCCTCTTCATCTTCACTCCCCCTCCTCAGCTGCCAGGCTGTGCCCTCCTCGGCCTGCGGTAACTTCGGAGCTTCCTAGATGTGCATACTCTTCCTCCTCCTCCTCCTCCTCCTCCTCCTCCTCCTCCTCCTCCTCCTCCTCCCTCTTTCCTCCATCCTCAAAATCTGCTATGAAAGCCAAGGATGTTGAACACGAAAACGAGCAAACCGCCTGAGACATCCCCACAAACTGGCCGCGAACGGGCCCGTGATATACCCCCTGGCGGCTCCCCTTAGGGGTGCTGAAACCAGCGCCCCGCCTGAGACATCCTCACAATCTGCTATAAAAGCCAAGGATGCTGAGCACGAAAACGAGCAAACCGCCTGAGACATCCCCACAAACTGGCCGCGAACGGGTCCGTGATATACCCCCTGGCGGCTCCCCTTAGGGGTGCTGAAACCAGCGCCCCGCCTGAGACATCCTCACAATCTGCTATAAAAGCCAAGGATGCTGAGCACGGAAACGAGCAAACCGCCTGAGACATCCCCACAAACTGGCCGCGAACGGGCCCGTGATATACCCCCTGGCGGCTCCCCTTAGGGGTGCTGAAACCAGCGCCCCGCCTGAGACATCCTCACAATCTGCTATAAAGCCAAGGATGTGAGCACGAAAACGAGCAAACCGCCTGAGACATCCCCACAAACTGGCCGCGAACGGGCCCGTGATATACCCCCTGCCCGTGAGTACGTCTGTGTATATAAGTCTGTGTATGAGCAAGTCTGGGTATGAGCAAGTCTGAGCAGAGGAGGAGAGGAGGAGGAGGAGGAGGAGGAGGAGGAGGAGGAGGAGGAGGAGGAGGAGGAGGAGGAGGAGGACGAGAATGAGGAGGAGGAGGAGAAGGAGAGGAAGCAGGAGGCGTCCAAGTAATTACTCACTGCGTGGAGCTCCCCATATGTGCATCCTTTTTTAAAGGTAATATTGTATATGGGTCTACAGGAACACACGTAAAACACCAAGGACTCGTGCCCCAGGAGCGGCCCAATATATAGGAACAAAAGTAAAACAAGTAGGATTGCTTACACAGGAGAAGGACAATATATAGAAACATACGTAGAACATCAAAGAATCGTGCTCCAGGTGAGGCCCAATCGATAGGAGCATACGTAAAACACATGGGATTGGAGCCACTCCTGTTGCCTTCTGAGGCCTCCTGCTCCTGGGGCCTCTCGGGGCCTCCTGTTGCCTTCCGAGGCCTCCTGGCACTTCCTGTTGCCTCCTGGGGCCACCTGTGGTTTCCGGAGGCCTTCTGGAGCTTCCTGGGGCCTCCTGGAGCCTCTTGGGACATCCTGTGGCCTCTTGAATCTTTCTGTGGCCTCCTGATGCCTCCTGGGACCTCATGTGGTCTCCTGGGGCCTCCTGGAGCCTGTTGGAGCCTCCTGTGGCATCCTGAGAAGAATCTGCGCCCACGAGCCTGGCCACCAAAACAAGCAAACCGATCGAGACATCCTCAAAATCTGGCCCACCTGGGGGGTGAAAATGAGCGCCTCGCTCGAGACATCCTCCAAATCTGCTCCGAAAGCGAAGGATGTTGAGCCCAGAAACAAGCAAACCGCCTGAGACATCCCCACAAAATGGCCGCGAACGAGCCCGTGCAACCACCCCTGGCGGCTCCCCTTAGGGCCACGAGCCTGGCCACCAAAACAAGCAAACCGATCGAGACATCCTCAAAATCTGGCCCACCTGGGGGGTGAAAATGAGCGCCTCGCTCGAGACATCCTCCAAATCTGCTCCGAAAGCGAAGGATGTTGAGCCCAGAAACAAGCAAACCGCCTGAGACATCCCCACAAAATGGCCGCGAACGAGCCCGTGCAACCACCCCTGGCGGCTCCCCTTAGGGCCACGAGCTTCCTTAGGGGTGCTGAAACCAGCGCCCCGCCTGAGACATCCTCACAATCTGCTCTCCAAGCGAAGGATGTTGAGCCCAGAAACAAGCAAACCGCCTGAGACATCCCCACAAAATGGCCGCGAACGAGCCCGTGCAAACACCCCTGGCGGCTCCCCTTAGGGGTGCGGCTCCCCTTAGGGGTGCTGAAACCAGCGCCCCGCTTGAGACATCCTCCAAATCTGATGTGTGTTGAGTAAGTCTGAGTATGAGTAGGTCTGAGTATGAGTATGCCTGAGTATGAGTAAGTCTGTGTATGAGTAAGTCTGTGTATGAGTAAGTCTGGGTATGAGTAGGTCTGTGTATGAGAAAGTTCTGAGTATGAGTAAGTCTGAGTATGAGTAAGTCTGAGTATGAGGAGGGGAGGAGGAAAGAGGAGGAAGGAGGAGGAGTAGGAGGCGTCCAAGTAATAATTCCTCTTCCTCCTCCTCTTCCTCCTGACTCCTCCTCCTCTTCCTCCAAATCTGCTCCGAAAGCGAAACATGTTGGAAGAGAAAATGACCAAACCGCCTGAGACATCCCCACAAAATTCCGCGAACGGGACCCCGTGAAATACCCCCCCGCCGCCCCCCTTAGAGTGCTGAGACGAGCGAATCGCCTGAGACATCCTCCAAATCTGCTCCGAAAACGAAACATGTTGGATCAGAAAATGGCCAAACCGCCTGAGACATCCCCACAAAATTCCGCGAACGGGACCCCGTGAAATACCCCCCCGCCGCCCCCCTTAGATTGCTGAGACGAGCGAATCGCCTGAGTCTGAGTGATGACTGAGTCTGAGTGATGAGAGAGCATGAGTGAGTCTGAGTGATGAGTGAATCTGAGTGGTGAGTCTGAGTGATGAGTGGTGTGTCTGAGTGAGGACTGAGTCTGAGTGATGAGTGAGTCTTGATGAGTGAGTCTGAGTGATGAGTGAGTGGGGAATAAAAAACCCCATCTTTGGATATGGGGAATCAAGAACCCCATCTTAGGATATGGGGAATAACTTACGTGTGTGCCTGAGTGATGGGTGTGGTGTTCTGTCCTGTTCTGTGTCCTTCCGGCGCGGTCCGCCAATAACAAGAACCCCATCTTTGGATATGGGGAATAACAAGAACCCCATCTTAGGATATGGGGAATAATAATACGAATAATAAGAATAATAATAATAATAAGAATAATAATAATAAGAAGAAGAAGAAGGAGGAGAAGAAGAAGAAGAGGAGGAGGAGGAAGAGGAGGAGAGGGAGGAGGAGAAGGGAGAGGGGGATGGGCAAGCTAGGCGCGATGGCGCCACATCTAGCATCCTACCCCTCCCTCACATGCCTCCCCGTTGCGCTGATGTTGTTCTATCCGCCACCGGGTGCCATAGCGGACCTGGAACACCCAAAAGGACCCCATCGAAAGGGGTGGTTTGTTCTCGGGCTTCTCGGGGGAGGTGCTTCTGATGTGCTCCTCTACTGGAACCCCCGACTGAGCTCTGGCGGTGGCACCAGAGACCCTCGAGGCACCACAAGGTGGGTCACTGACGGGCGGAGGCCTTCCCCAAGGCCTCCTTGCCTACTTTTCCGCCTGCCTCTCCTGCTGCTGCTGCTGCTGCTGCTGCTGCTCCTCCTCCTCCTCCTTCTCCTCCTCATTCTTCTCCCCCTCCTCGTCATACTCGTATGCCTCTCCTCCCCCTCGTCCTCCTCTTCCTCCCTATCTTCTTCCTTCTCCCTCTTATCCTCCTCCTCCTCCTCCTCCTCCTCCTCCTCCTCCTCCTCCTCCTCCTCGCCCCTCCTCCTCCTCCTCCTCTCCTCCTCCTTCTCCTCCTCCTCCTCCTCTTCCTCCTCCTCCTCCTCCTCCTCCTCCTCCTCCTCCTCCTCCTCCTCCTCCCCCTACGATTTGATATATTATCCGCGGCACGTGTTCCCAGCTGTATCTCAAGTTTCTTGGCCCTAAGCTTGCTCAGCTTGCCCCCCAGCTCTCTCGCCGCGCGCGCGGCCTTGGCGCCAGGGGCCTGCTTTTGCCATCGCCGCGCTGGTCGCCGACTTCAACGTGGCGGTGCTCTTTTTGGGCCACACGTGGGTCACCGCCGAAGACGGTCGTCCGAACGCTTCCTGCACGCTGGGATTGGCTCGGGCTCGCCCTTCGCCCCGCCGGCCCGAGCTCGCGCGGGGCGCGGTTGGCTGCCGCCCTTGGGCAGCTGGCGGCGGCGAGGGTTCACCCGTTCCGCTCGGGCGCCGCTGCTCCTTGGCAGCGCGATCCCGTATTTCTCTGGCCTGGCCCCCTGCCAGTCCTCCCCAAAGGCTCTTGCCCCGCTTGAAGGTCGCTGCCGCGCCCGCTAGGCAGCCTGGTCGTTCGCGCCCGTCGCCAACGGCGCGGCGCCCTGCGGCGTAGGCGGCTGCGCGCCCGAAAACTTCCCTCCCCCTTCCCGTGCCCCATTCTTCTCTTTCCGTGGGGGTGGCGGACACGGGGGAAGACGACGACGGCGGCGAGGAAGCTTGCACGCCATGTGCCGCGGACGCGGCCTTCCGCGTCGGCCTCGAAGAGGGCATGGAACTGCCAGACTCGATCACCAGAAGGGGGTCGCTGCCGCGCAGTCCCCACCGCCTGCAGCCCCGTGTCACTCTGAGCTGGCCTCACGACCGTCCAACTCAGGGCGAAGAGGCAGAGCGCGTGAAGATAACCTCCTGGGAGATGGGGGGCTCGGAGGAGGAGAGTCCTGCTAGCCTCCAGCTCCTCACTCGCTCCCCCGCCCCTCCCTCGCAGTGCCCTGGCTCAACCACAGCCCCGCTTGCTCAGCGGGCACCGAGCTGCCGCTTCGCGCGGCCTGTCAGATCCCAGGTGAGCGACGCAACAGAAACGTGGCCGTCTGCGCGGACCTGGGCGCGCAAGCTGCCCGCGTAAGGTCCCGCGTAAGCGCCCTCGCTTCACATGCAGCGTGCCGCGCGGGCGGCCCGCGTAGGCCGCCGCGTAAGGTCGCGACGTCATCTCGCGCAGGACCCGTTCTTGATCGTCGCTCAGGTGCCGACGCGGTGGTCCCGTGCTCGTCCCGCTGGGCCGCTTCCTCAGCTGAGCAGGCCGCTCTGCCAGCGAGCGCTGCCGACGCTCCGCGCAGCGTGCCCGTTGCGGGCCCCCTGCTTCCGCCGCCGACGTTCCAGGGCGGGCGTCCCTGCTCACCCCCCGGGGCCTCGACGGCGAGATGTCGGCCCCCCTCTCCGGGCCTCGGCCCTTCGTCGGCTGTCGAGACCAAGCGCGTCGGGGGCTTCTCGTTCGTTCAGCGGTCGACGGGTGATCTTCCACAGTGCCTGTTCCGCGCAGTCTCTCGCTGCGGGCGCTGCGGGTTCCAGTGAGTCTGACGCACCGTCGGAGCGCTGAAGAAGGAGCTCTTCTCGTTGGTGAGGGGCTCCGTGATCCTGAGTTGTTTTGCAGCTTGCCTTGGGTTTTCCTGCGGTCTTCGATCGGAAGTCAAAGTTTAACTTACGGTAAAAAGGGGCCTCGTTCCTCATGTATCGTTCCTTGGGTCAACGCCCCGACTGTAGTTGTCACGTGCCGGCACAGCGACGCGGACTCGGCGCCGCAGAGCACGGCTCGCACCGTTGCTTCCGTCGCCGCTGTAGTACCGCCGCCGCCTCACACGTGCTGGGCCCGCCGCGCCGAAGCCGCCCCATGGCCGCATCGCCTTGTCGATGGGAAGTGGTGCTGGGTCTTGCTCTTCCTCCTGCTCCTCCTCCTCCTCCTCCTCTTCCTGCTTCTGCTCCTCCTCCTCCTCCTCCTCCTCCTCCTCCTCCTCCTCCTCCTCCGCACCCTCCTCCTCCGCACCCTCACCCCTCCCATCCCTCCTCCTCCTCCTCCGCCTCCTCCTCTCGCTTCGAGGGGGGTAGGGGGGAACGCGCTCCGTCGGTGGTAGATGCGGCATGAGGACGGGGAGGGGCAGGAGGAGGGAGAAGCAGGGGGGTCAGTGGGGAGGTGGGGGGGGGAGTTCGTTTTTCAGTCTTGAGCCCGGGGCGAAGGATCATGGTTCCTGCTTGTGTTATCTTGACCGAGGGAATATGTTGAAGAAAGCAACAGTACACAGTATGCAATCGATGTCTGCGGACTGAGCGCTTGGTTCGACTGTCCTACGCATTATGCGTCACACTGTGTTCGGTGTGGTGTTACCGAAATGCAGTTTCGGCCTGGCTTTGGCAAGCTTCGATCTGACATCAGTGTTTGCATCGACCCTAGGTCCGAGTCGGGCCCAACCTTGTCCAGCAGTGCGCCGTCCTCCTCCGCCTCCGCTCTTCCGCCTCCGCTCTTCCGCCTCTCCGCCTCCCTTCTCCTTCTCCGCCTGACCCTTCTCCTTCTCCTCCTCCTCCTCCTCCTCCTCCTCCTCGTCTTCCTTCTCACCCCCAGGCTACAGGGAGGTCTGCGCGTACGAGTGCCCAAGTGAGGTCAACGACCTCCGCATGACGTTCGAGGATGCAGTCGTCACGGTCCGGACGTACCGGGACCGCCACCACCACCCGCGAGCATTGAGGAGGAGTTGGGAGGAGGAGCGAGGAGGGGGGAGTGGAACGGGAAGGGGGGAGGAAGAAGGCAAAAGGGGGGAGGGACGTGGCAGGAGGGAGGAGGGAGGAGGGGGGAGTGGAGGACCTTTCATTTGGTGTGATGTGTGTTGCCAACAATCAGGGCGCCATGAGTTAAAGTCTAGGCAAACGTGCCAGACCTATTTTGTCACTGTGCGTGCTGCCCTTAAGGCAGACATTATCTTCGTGTGCTTGAAAGACTTCTGCCATGCAAGACCAGAAAGTCTTAGCGGGGCTAGGCAGGCGCCGTTGACCGAGGCGCTGACTCTTTTGACAAGGCAGATATCAGTTGTGCCCGCAGGTGTGATGGCCGCCGCTCGGGCTGATGCCGCACAACCCCTCTACGGCGCACCTGGGTTGAGCTCAGACGTGCTCAGCACACCCGCAGAGCGCTGATCTCATCTAAACTCCGTCCTCGCCCTGCCTGGGCGCCTCGTCGACGGCCATGGTCATGCCCTCGGCGAGCTGCGCCTCGGGCTTGCCCGCCTCCGCCTCGGACCTCTTGAGCAGGGCCTCGAAGTGCTCGATCTCGGAGGGGGCCCAGTGGAGGGACCTCCCAGAGCAGGGACCTGGCCGGCTCCCGTGTGGCGATCGACGTCGAAGCGGCGTGGATCTCCTCATTGCAGCACGTCCTTAGGCCGTCGGCACCAGGTGCAGTATGTGGCCGTTGCCCGCCTCGTCCGGGCGAGCTTGACAGCAGAATCTGTACTCCGATTGGCCCGCTTCGGAGCCGTGGTCGCAAGCTCGCAGTGCCAGGAGGCGCGGGGAGGGGGAAGGGGGTAATGTGGAGGAGGGGGGACGGGGAGGGTGAGGAGGAGGATGAGCGGACCTCAGTCTACCGCGCGGGCGTGGAGGAGGAGGGGAGTAGAGGGAGGAGGAGGAGGAGGAGGAGGAGGAGGAGGAGGAGGAGGAGGAGGAGGAGTCTCCCGCGCGGGCGTGGAGGAGAAGGAGGGGAATATAGGGAGCAGGAGGAGGAGGAGGAGGAGGAGGAGGACCAGAGTAAACCGAAAATAGTCAACAATGCTGCAATACACCCTCCCTTCCCAAGTCCCCTTCTCATAGTCCCGACAAGCCTTCCTTCCACCTGCAATATTCACCCCCTTGAAAGACCAACACCCTGTGAATCTGCCATTCCGGTATGAACCCCGCTTTGAAAAAGGAACGAATTGCCTTGTACCCTTCCAGCGCAGAAAAAGGAGCGCGCGAAGGTATGATCATGCAGTTCAGCGAAGTGTCTAGCCACATCCCCGTTTTGAAAAAGAATCGCTCCCATCTGCGCGACACTGTGCAACTCTTGCACCAGTTTTGCACGTCTGGCCATACGCGTCGAGGTTGCCTCAAGCGCAAGTGCCATTTTGGAACGCAGCCGCCCTCCATCCGTGCAGCTGCACCATATACGTTTAAGCGTTTGGATTTGAATATGCAGATGTCTTAACCGAACTGCTATTTTTGCAGTGGGAGCGCCTTTTATCCGTGCAGCTGTTGCGTCTGTTCAAGCTCCTGGCCATGAATCTAGTGAAGGCCAAGCTTTGAAAAAGGAACCGCCCACAATCCCTGTAACTGATGCAAGCGTTTAAGACGAATGTGCGCGGCGCTGACGCGACAGCCACATGTTGAAAAGGAAGTGCCCTCCATCATTGAAGCTGCTGCAAACTTACAAGACCAATCAGAGGAATGTGCGCGGCGCTAAGGCGAGAGCCCCATTTCGAAAACCATCCCCCCATCCTTGAAGTTGCTGCAAAGAGCTTTTAAGCCGAATGTGCGTGACGGTCAGGCGAGAGCCACCTTTTGAGCACGTCCCCCCGCCCATCACGGTTTTTTCCCCACTTTTGAGCATCGCGATCCCAAGTGGGGAGGAAATCTCGGGCGAAACGCCAGGCCCGCCCTACCGACACGTCTGGGGGTGCGACAGGGATGAGCTATTCGAAAGGGAAAGGGATGGATGATGAGGAGGAGAAGGAATTCAGAATCTGGGGCCCAGGCAGAGTCCGACCATATGATTCTTGCGCCACCACCAATGAGAGGAGCACCACGAACGTGCTGAAGTCGAGCGCGCAAGTGGAGAAGCTTCACGATTACCGAACCTTGCGCAAACTTCAATCACCCGTCATTGTTATCATATTTGTCTGCACTCGGCGCTGCTACCCATGCTATCTTCGGGGGTCGTTGGATCGACAGGGGTTGGCTGCGCCGAGGCTACCTCCGCCGTCACCGCCGCGAAATACTGGAAGATGGCACCCACGTTCAAGTCAGCAGCGGCAGCCAGCCAGCCTTGGAACACAAACAACCGAATGACCATGAAGAGACTGAGCATCGCGAAGAAGCCGTGCCCGCTCCGCTCTGGCATCCTGGCCCTCAGCGTCAGCGCTTGCCGCTTGCAGTCGGCCAGTCGCCAGGGCAGACACCCTCCGAAGGGGCCCTGTGGCCGAACCACTGCTGCCGCGTATCTCCTGAAGGTCGAGCCGAGCTCAGCGACGGACGAATGGCTGCTGCACTGGCCTTCTGCCCACCAGGCCGCCAACGGCTTGATGATGCATCCTCTCCAGGAACACAGTACGCGAGGCTTCCCCTGAGGCTACACGGCCTGTGTGTGGGCTGTGCAGCGGCGCCTGATCCAGCAGCGGCACCTGGGCACACCCCGTTGGCAGCGTGGCATCGCACGTGCACATCTTTCCACGGAAGCTCGGCTCCTGCCCCGTGACCAGGGTCTCCAGCGCAGGGATGTCGGCCTGAACGCGCACGAGGAGGTCGTTATTCCCAAACATGTTTTTTTGCGTCGGCGGCCAGGCAGAGTAACTGCGCTGGCGGAAGAGAAATCACAACGGGGATAGCGTTGAAGCGACTTGCGCCACCATGCAGGAAGATGGAAGGGTACAGGGAGGGCGGCCGAAGAGGGAGAGAGGGAGCGAGGGCCGCTCAGGGGCACGAGTCACACACGGAGCGAGTGGGAGGCATTCCCAAACATGTTGTTCAGCATGTTCAGCAACTCCGAATAGCGCGCCTCCGCTTGCGTTCGTTGCTTCACGATACGCTTAAGCCGATCAGCGGACGCACGGGCGCCAGCCACGCCGCGCCTCGCGCTTACATGCGCCGCGCAACCTCCCACCCGGGCACCGGCGTCCCGCGCCACTACCAGGCACCACAGCAGCACTCAGTCAGTGGCACCCGGCCCAGACGCACATGCCACGCCGTCTCGAGCCAAGGGGTGTTCGCCGTCTGCGGGTGACTTAAGCCGAAATGGCTACGGCCTGGGGGAGGATGAGGAGGAGGAGGAGGAGGAGGAGGAGGAGGAGGAGGAGGACCGTCTCGAGCCAAGGGGTGTTCGCTGTCTGCGGGCGACTTGAGCCGAAATGGCCTCGGCCTGAAGGAGGAGGAGGAGGAGGAGGAGGAGGAGGGGGACGAGGAGGAGGGGAAGGAGGAGGAGCAGGAGGAGGAGGAGGAGGAGGAGGAGGAGGAGGAGGAGGAGGAGGAGGAGGGGGAACCCAAGATGTAGCAGCGATGCTGCAACACACCCTATCGTCCCAAGTCCCCTCGTCATGCGTCTCTGCACGCCTGCTTTTCGTCCCTGCGCGACGCGCCCCGTTGAGTGGCGAGCGCCCCGTGGGCCCGCAAGTCAGGCGGGAACTCCGTCCCGAAAGCAGCTGCCCCCCCCCAGTCTTCGAGCTACAATTAAGTCGGGCGTGCCCCTCTACAGGGGGAAAGTTCCAAAATTGTGACAAATAGTCTGGGGACGACTTTTCGATTGTTGGCTAACCATGTCTGAGTATCTTTTGGCAATTTGTCGTTTGGTCCTGTAGGAGGACATGCCCGACCTAAAGCTACAAAGGATGCGACGAGGTGGGGCAACAAAGGTCGAGGAAGTGTCCAGCGGCAGTCCCGCTCCGAAGTGGAGCCGCCGTCCATCCGCGTAGCTGCTGCACAAGTCGAGGCGTTCTGCGAATCGGATCGAAGGAAGTCTTCTGCCGGAGCCACTTTCTAGCCGTGTAACAGTTGAACAGTATTATGCTTCTGGTGATCAGGTGCGAGGACATTCCAGGCGAGGCCCTATGTGTCGAAAAACAGCCGCCCTTCATGCTCCGTATACAGACGAATGTGCGCGGCACCAAGGAGATAGTGAGTCCCAGTTTGAAGCAACCCGCCCTCCATCCGTGAAGCTGCTGGAACTCCTGAGCTTGAAGGTAGCAAACAGTGAGGAAGTCGCAGGAGACATGCCCCGCCCGCCGAAACGACACGTCTGATGGTGCGGCAGGGACAGGGAGGAGCTATTCCCAGCCCTCTTCCGTTGGGATCTTGCTTTGCACAGAGCACGGCCGTCTTCTCCCGTCCCTTTTTCCCATCTCTTCGCCTCCGTTCTGCTTCCTGCCTCTCGCATGCCTCTTGCCTCCCGCCTGCCGCCTGGTTGCCTCCTGTCTCCCCTCTGTCACTGGGCTGCGGACTGACCTCCTGTCGCCACGTTCGTGGGCTCCTGGGGAGTCTGGCGCAGTGAGGTGTTACCCCGGCCAGAATGGAATCTCCCCGTCCCAGGGGGCTGGGAACTGCGAGACGGTCGCTGCTTTCGTGGGCCCCTGAGGGACCCAGCGCGGGCCACGAAGTGCACAACTCTGGCAACCGTCGTGGGCTCTTGGGGGGTCCAGCGCAGTGCAGTGCTGCCCAGACCAGGATGAGACCTCGCCGCTCCTGGGGGTTTCGAACTGCGAAGCCATCGCCAAGTCTGTGCGCGTCTGGGGGATCCAGCGCCGCGAGGTGCTGCCGGGACCTCGCCGCCCTTGGGGGCTGCGAGCTGCGAAACGATCGCAACCCGTGTGGGATCCTGCTAGAATGAGACCTCGCCGTCCCTGCGAGCAACAATGGAGCAACTGTACACTGACGACGAGGGCCCCACGCCGAGCGAAACGCCCGTCCCTGGAGACGTCGGGAGCTTGCACCTCGGCCGCTCAAGTCGAATCCCCGCCCACTCACAAGCGGATAAGGACGAGATAGGACGAGACGGATGACATGCAGAGATTTGGGAGAGACGAGGAGGAAGGATACAGTGGAGGCCCATGCCAATAAACACCCTGCGTGCCTCCAGTATGCCCTGGGTTTGTAGGGTTTCGATGGTTTTACCATGGAAAGCGTGGCGCTCCCACACCACAAATCGATGGACGTCCTGGGGGTCTCAGGGTTGGGTTTCTTGTGGAAGGTTTCTTGTGGACTGGCCTCCACTGTACGCCTGCGATCTCCAGACCAGAATGGGACCTCGCTGTCCCTTAATGGGGGGCCTGCGAACTGCGAGACCGTCGCCCCTCGTTTGTGGGACTCCGCTGGAGTGGGGCCTCGCCTTCCCTGGGGCCTGCGACCTCTAGACCACAATGTGACCTCGCCGTCCCTTGTATGGCTGCGACCTGCGAAGCCGTCGCCATTTTTTGTGTGGCATTCTGCCGGGGTGAGGCCTCGCCCTCCCTGGGGCTGGGAACTGTATGACTTTCGCCACTTTCGTGGGCCCCTGAGAGTTCAGCGCAGCGGGGTACTACCCCGGCCAGAATCAACCATCGCCGTCCCTGTGGACTGCGACCTGTGAAACTTTCGTGGGCGGGGAGTCCAGCGCAGGGCAGTGCTACCCAGACCAGCATGAGACCTTGCTGGAGGTTCTTGGGGTCCAGCGCAGTGCGGTTTTGCACAGATTTGAGTGGGACCTCGCCGCCCCTGGAGGCTGCGAGTTGCAAAACGTTCGCTGCTTTCGTGGCGAAGCTGTCGCCCCTTTCGTGAGTTCCTGGGGGTCCAGGTGAGTGAGTGCTACCCAGACAAGGATAAGATCGCGCCTTAGCCACCCAGCAGCCACCAGATCTCTGCGGACAAGGCGGAGAACTAAGGAGGAGGAAGAAGAGATGTGTTCTGGTTCCCTCACTCCTTTTCCCTTTCTCTTTGCTTTGCTCGTTGCTACGTTGCTACTCCTCCGCGTTCCCGCATCCTTCCTCCCGTCCGTGCTGTTCTCTTATCCTCGCCGCTTTCTTCTCGTTGCTCCTCTATTTGAATGGCAGCATTCTATATCCTCCTACGCGCCTTCCTTCGTTTACTCCCCCCTCTTCCGCTCCTTCCTCGTTTTCTCTCACTCCCTCCCCCTTGATTTCACATGCTTCCACATCTTTCCACATCATGCCACCTCGTGGTCATCGTTGTCTTTCCATCTTCCCCTTTCCATGCAAGATTTGCTGGTAATGCAACACTCAAATACCTCCCGTGAGTCGTGCAACGCGCGAACGTCCCATTGAGCTCTCACCACAGGTCGCGCTCTTGGTCGTGCCACCATCCATAGCGTTGTGACCTACTCTTCTTGCCACGGGGACCTTGCCAGGATAATGTATAAGGGGAACGGATGGAGTTGGAAGAGAAGAGGGGGAACAGGATGGTGAGGGATAGGGAGACGGGGAGGCAGAATGGGGGAGAAGGGAGAAAGGGGGAGGAAAGGATGATGTTAATGATTATGATGATGACGACGATGCTGATGCTGATGCTGATGCTGATGCTGATGCTGATGCTGATGATGATGATGATGATGATGATGATGATGATGATGATTCTGAGGATGATTCTGAGGATGATGCCGACGAGGCCGACGATGCCGATGCCGATGATGCTGCTGATGCTGATGCCGATGATGATGATGATGTTGATGAAGAAGATGATGATGTTGATGATGATGATGATGCTGAGACTGATGATGCTGCTGATGATGCTGATGACAGTGATGGTGATGATAATGGTGGTGGTGATGTTGGCGATGGCCATGACGATGATGACGGTGAGTATGATGATGGTGATGATGATGGTGACGATGACGATGATTGTTCAGGAGGTGATGAGTATTATTGTCAGTTTTATTGTCATGAGGGTCATGGTGATCATGCTGATGTTGATGATACAGATGGTGATGTTGTTGACGATGCTGTTGCTGCTGATAATGATAATGATAATGATAATGATGATGATGATGATGATGATGATGATGATGATGATGATGCTGATGATGATGATGATGATGATGATGATGATGATGATGAGGATGCTGATGATGATGATGATGATGATGATGATGGTGATGATGCTAATGATGATGGTGGTGATGATTATTGCGATGCTGAAGACTGTGGCAAACTGATGATGGTGATGATGATGATGATGATGTTGATGATGATGATGCCGATGCTGATGAGTACGATGACGGTGACGCTGCTGCTGATGATGATAATATTGCTCATGAAGAGGAAGAAGAAGATGATGATGACGATGATGATGTTGATGATGCTGATGATGATGCTGATGATGATACTTGTGATGGTGATGGTGATGGTGACGGCGATGGTGACGTCTGTGGTGGTGGTGATGATGATGATGAGGAGGAGGAGGAGGAGGAGGAGGAGGAGGAGGAGGAGGAGGATGGGGAGAAGGAGGAGGAGGAGGAGGTGGAGGAGGAGGAGGTGGAGGAGGAGGAGGAGGGGGAGGAGGAAGAGGGTGGAGAACAGGACCGTCACCCCGCGGGCGTGGACATCCTGCCGCTGGAACGGCCGAGTGCATTGGTGTCGTTTCCAGGCTTGGCTGGTCAGAATCGTTTGGGCGTGGCCCAGTATGTGGCAGGTCTTCAGCCAGGGGAGTGCGTGCCCCCTCCCCTCCCGACCCCAGAAACATGGTCTTGGTACACAGGAGGGGGAGGAGGAGGAGGAGAAGGAGGAGGAGCAACGGACGGCCAACAGGCGGCAGCGGAGCCATGATGGGCAAGTACATCCACGCGCTGGATGGCTTCGAGGAGGGGTGCTCCCTGAGCAGCGTGGTGTGCACCGGGGAAGACCCCTCGACCAGCGCCTCCTCCGTGATGCTGTTCGACTTCAGGATATCCACCCCCGAAGGAACTTTCCAGATTATGTTTTTCCCTCGGCGTTTGAATACGTACATACATGTCCGATTGGGACGCTGGCCCCCCGCATCGGCGGTTCAGAATTGGGGCTGGCCTCTGATGATGAGGAAGAGGCGGGACAAAGAGGAAGAATGTGAGGCCGAGTTGTTCAAAGAGTTGTCTGCAGTCCAACGTTGACAGGTGGACCCTTCCCTGTCCTGCGGCCGTCGATCCGAAGGGACCAGCTGCGCGGGTCGGATTGCTGTCAAATTCCTCAGCCTCTTCCTCCTCGTGCGGGATCTCCTTATCCTCCCTACCCTTCTCCCCGTAATCCGCATATTGCTCTTCTTCTCCTCTTCTTACTTCGCCTTGTCTTGCGCTTCCTCTGTTTGTCTCCTCGCAACAAGACGAAGCGCCCTTGTGCGCGCAGCTGCGTCAGGTTCTGGGCACTGCGGCCAGAACGCAGGCCACGAATGCCAGAGGCTGTGACGAGGCCGCGCTCGGACCAGAAGTGCTACGCAGGTTTAGGTGCGCCGAGAAGGCGCGTGGGACGGACGGCGCGCTGCGAGGAACCGGCAGCAGGTCGCAACCCAAAGCGCGCGCCGGCGTCATCACAGCCGCGAGTGGTCCGAGAATGCTCACCGATCTCTCCGAGTTGCCTTGGAGGTGACCGTTAATGCGTACCAGGGGTTTCGAGTAGGTTCCTCCCATGCGGATGTATCATTGGTGGTTTGCGTAGAAGAACCTTCTGGCTTGGACAATGTCTGATGGACACCCTGCGTGGAGTACGAGTTTGAGGCAGATAACGTGAACATACGTGAACCTCGAGCAAGCACGAGCTCGTTTAGAGCATCCATGGCCACCGATCCGCAACCGATCAGATCGGCAAGCCCCGAGAGATCACGTCGCGAAGGCGAGAGTTCCATTTGTCAGAATGCCGCATTCGGGAGCTTGTCCATCAAGAGGCCGATCAGTAGTCTCTGTCGATGAGTATGTGGTGCGGCTGCCGAGACCAGAGACGGAAAACCTGCCCGACTGATTCCAAGAACCTGAATATTTGCTTCGGGGAATCGGCGGAGTGGCACTCCATTCAGGAGCAAGGCCACGAACAGCCAGTCGTCCGCCACGGCGTTCCAATGCTCCCTGGCTCTTGTCATCCAAGATGCCCTGCGCCGAGACTCTCAGCGTTCGGAGGCCAGCGTTGCCAGAGCCATCGGTTTCGGCAGGGGCAGGTTTGCGGAAGATCGCAGCAGGACCAGGACGAATATGTGCGCTCGAGGCGAAGCACCAGAAGGTGACAAGCAAACCATCTGCGCAAGTCAGGCGGAGCAAGAATCGGACGGAGTACATGGAAGGTGATACCGAAGAGTCGTGGGACCAGCGCCGAGCATCCAACCAGCGTCTGGTATAGTCAGGGTGGGATCATCCGACTTGCACTCAGAGAAGATCACTCATCGCGGGCAACGTTGCGGAGTACCACGGCGGGCTCACTCGCGGAGTCAGCTACAGCTTGATGAGCTCCATCGGGGGAACATCGCCGAAGAGGCCCACATTGGTTGGATCGAACTAGGTTGCGTTACTCAGCGCAGGTTGATTGGCTATGTGTTGCGTTGTCTGCAGAGTGGTGGCATTTACGAGCGGTGAAGATCTTGAGAACAGGTGTCGTTGGCCGCATGGCTATGTGGAAGAAGCCAAGGTTTTTGACCGTCATGATGACGCAGATTTCACGATCATGGTGGTGCGATCGAAGAGATGAATAAGACCTTGAATGCTGCCTTATAGTATAGCTTCCCTGCTATTGGTGTACCCAGCATGCCAGACACGCTGACGTCGACACTACTTAATCTGGGCAGGATAGCAGTGGGCCTTTCTTGCACATCTGGAATCCTCTCGATGGGGAGCAGGCCACACAAACTTGTGGTACCAACACGGAGGCCATGCCATGACGGCGGATCGGCAGCAGCACAAATAACCAGAGTATAACAGCGTACCACTGTCCAACGACTGCTTTCCAGATGGTAAAAGTGTTAGTGTTGTTAGCCGATCACCGCAATTGTTCAATCTCGTTTCTTGGCGATACGAAAAAAAAAACTCCTCCCACCTGGCCCGTCCCCTCCCCCCCACCCTTCCCCTCCCCGTCCCTCGCCCTCCTCCTGCACAGGAGACAGTCGCCCTGCGTGGTGGACATGCAGGTGGCAGCTGTCGGCCAGCCCCCGACCTCCATGCTCTGGCCGCTGCGAGCGGGGCCCTCGCCCCTGGTCTACGCCGCCGTGGAACTCGAAGGTCTTGACCCTGCCTCTGCACCCCCTCCCCCTCGCCTCCCCGCGTCCAGAGCAGGAGGAACTGAAGAAGAAGAAGAAAAAGAAGAAGAATAAGAAGGATAACGAGAAGGAGGAGGAGGAGGAGGAGGAGGAAGGAGCTCATCCATGCTCCCTCCGCCCCCCCCTGCCTGCTCCTGCCTCCTCCCTCTTCCGAGCACCTCCAGTCGATTCAATTCGGCATGCTCAGGCCCTGAAAGTCTCATGGCTCTGCGCTTCGAAGTACACGTCCGAATTGGTGGTTCAAGCCTCCAGGTTGGAGGCTTGGGATTTTCCGAAGAGGATGGAGGGAGGGATGGGGGGAAGAGGGCGGGCCAGGGAGAGGGGATGGGCGGCAGACAGGTGTGCGCGGGATGGACGGTGAGGGTGAGGAGCGCGGGACTGCTTTGGGCCAGGACGGTGGAGGGAGAGAGCTCGGAGCAGGGCGTGGGACGGCGTTCCATGCGACGACCGCGGCCAGCGGAGCGCAGGTGAGGCTTTGCCGGTCAATGTGCGGTTGGACAGGGTCCACCATCGGCGACCCGGCCGTGGCGTCTTGGGCCCTTAGTGGTCCCAGTGGTAGATGGTTGGGGCAGTGCAGGTCAAGTCATTGTGGTAGACGTCCCCCCCTGAGCGACCCATTCAGGAGGAGGGAGCGTGGATGAGGAGGAGGAGGAGGAGGAGGAGGAGGAGGAGGAGGGAGGAGGAGGAGGAGGGGGAGGGAGGAGGGGGAGGAGGAGGAGGGGAGGAGGAGGGGAGGAGGAGGAGGAGGAGGAGGAGGAGAGGAGGAGGAGGAGGAGGAGGAGGAGGAGGAGGAGGAGGAGGAGGAGGAGGAGGAGGAGGAGGGGGGGAGGAGGAGGAGAGGAGGAGGGAGGAGGAGGAGGAGGAGGGAGGAGGAGGAGGAGGAGGAGGAGGAGGAGGAGGAGGAGGAGGAGGAGGAGGAGGAGGGGACAGAGAGCGAAGAGAAGGACCTGGAGGAAGAGGAGAACGAGGAGGAGCAGCAGCATACTGGTCCTCAGCCACCCGGCCTCTGCCATGCTCGGCTTTGTCACCGTTGTTGGTTGAACATTGCGGCCCAGAAGGTCTTGGCAGCAAGATCGTCATGGTGGACTTCCGATATCCGACCATTGGCTCAGGCATGGAGTTCTGCTTTCCGGGGAAGGTGGACGACTTCCGCTGCTTCGGCGGCAGCTTGTACGTCGCCTGCGCAGCTCCAGCGGCACAGCAGACGCAGGTGAGCGTATTCAGGTGCAGCCCTGGCAACCCGCAAGAGATCGAGCTGCTGTCGTCCTCGATGGTGGGCGCAGGGTCGTCGACATCCTCTCTCCAAAGCCCCCACGAGGACTTGAGAGTGCTGACCGTGAGCCAGGGGGGCTTCGCCTTCTCTTGTGGCGAGCACCTCCTCCTCGGGAGCGTGGTCGAGGCGTGGCGTCCAGGACGTCTCGAATTATTCCTGTTGCCGCTGCTGCTTTTCATTCATCCTCGCATCCCCCTTATGGTAGCCCTCAGGTACATATCCAGCTGCCTGCGGCAACCGCAACTGTGCAGCAGGAAGGAGGCTGAGTGCAGGAACAGCGCAATTCTTACAAGTAGTCTGAATCGGGACGGGTCGTGAGCTCGACTTCGCCTTCGTCCGCGCGGTAGGAAGGAGATCGAGTTCACGCACAGCGGCAGTTCAGCGAGTGATCGTGATCTCGACCTCGTCTTCGTCTGCACGATGGAAGGAGAAAGAGGAGGAGGAGGAGGAGGAGGAGGAGGAGGAAGAGGAGGAGGAGGAGGAGG